GCAAAAAAACCCGAGTTTTGGCCACAAACAACTTTCTGTCACATTTTATTAGTCAGTATCATTTCTACTAATACCTGGCTTATAGCTTCATGACTTTGAGTTCATATTATTTTCATGCTTCAATTAGAAAGAAGTTGATAGCCAGACTATCCAGGAAGGTAATGGAAAAGTCTTGTAGCGGGGCTTAGTGGTGGAATTTATAGTTAAATGAAACTTTGAAATATACTATAAAACTTCTCCTTCCTTTACGTAGTTTCACTTGAGGTCTCATAAGCAGTAATATGTAGAAATGCAAAACTTAATCAGCTAAAAAATATAGCAAATCCCACATATCACTTTATGCAATGCCAGGAGAGCAGAAATATATTTTCCTAACCAGAGGAAATTAACCAGGCAACAGTCCTATATCTATAATTTAAAGCAGTAAAATATGTATGGCAGAAGCTAAAGCCACCTTAAAAGAATTCAGGGTAGCAGTATATCACAAATTAATGAAATGGAGACATTTTTAGAGCATGCAGCACTGATGATATTAAAGGGGGCAGACTATTTCACCACATAGATCAGACTGATAAATACTTTTAAAATCAAGCTTTTTTCCCTGTTTAAAAGTGTAAGATCTCGAATATTAGGGGGAAGCACACACGACTCATTAACATTTCTTATCAAATCTCCACAGAGATTAGGAATATCTCATTCTGTCCCTGCATGTAAACCTCTGATGTGGTTTACACATCAGGAAAATCTGAGTAAATCAAAAGGCAGGAATTATGGAGTCAGCGCTTACTTTGTGGCACCTAAAACAGAGCTGAAAGAAACTTAAAAAAAAATTGCTTTGTATTCCATGCTGTAGCCAAGCTGGGCACTACGGAATATTCAACTACCCCAGGTTTTTTAAATGCAATCAATTTACTGCTGCCAAATGTAGTAGGTTTATACACATCTGGGAAACATGCACCTACGGTGCTGATGAATTTCTCCTGACATTGCACTGATTTCAAGAGAATGTTATTTTAAATTGGCAGTAGAGAAACTGGTAGAGAAGGATAAAGCCCTGAGGACGGCTGAATCAAAGAGAATTTCAAAAGAATTTTCCTGATGGTTCTTGGATAATATCACATGTTAGCTATTTTCAAAGCCAATAGTTTCCAACACACTTCCATTTATGGTATCAATAATTAAAAAATACTTCAGTGGGAGAGGAACTTACCTTACTGAGAGGAGAAATTGGAAAGCTGTGTTATTATCATAAACACAGGAGATGCAGAAAGCTTTGTCTCCATGGAAAAGCTATGGAAACAGGGATATCTTATTTGCAACTATTGAGCAGTTACCAAAAAAATGTGATCTGATTGTATGTGCATGTTCAAAGTGCTACTAGAACATGATCACACAGAAACTAAGGGCAGATCCTCACCTTCTTTGTGCAACAAGGTAGAATTAAACCACCTGAAGCTTTGCTCCTGAAGCCCGAAGACAATTAGAATAGCATTAAGGAAATGTTTTGGATCAAATTCAGAGGTAAAACTAAGTCTAAAGAAAATCTAAATTACCAAAACTTAAATCTCATTATGCCCCACTCCCCGCCAGCACGGCCCTGCCAGCTCCTAATGAATTTTTAACGTCTTTCCCCCGCCCCACCGCGCACATCAGCGCTGACTCCGGCACCCCGAGCTGCGCCGGCGCTGCACTCTAATTGTACCTCACGTGTCAAGGGGCAAGAAGAAAGGAGTGTGGCGAGAGCATTGATAAATTTAACTTAACATTCCTCCAGCTCCTCAGCAGTAAGGCAGAGCAGTGAACTCCCCTCCACGTTTTACAGGGGTGTCAGGTACTTCAAAGGAATGTGTTTGAGCACGAGGGAGTCTGGCTCGCTCCCAGCTTATGCATCATTTGTGTCTGGCTGTTTCTGGAGATCCAAAGCAAAGCAAAGACTTCCTCCAGTTTGGGGTACGGTGTGGAGCTTCCTGTAGCTGTTCTCTTAGGGGTGCTGGAAGAGGTCAGCCCTGCATGTTGCATACAAACTGTGTAGTTGGAGCTGCACCTGTACTTCTTCCTTTTTCTTCCCCCCCGCCTTTTTTCCAGACTTCTCTCAGTCCAGATTACAGATTAATGATCTATACCTGTTCAGTTTAACATATAAATGTGCTTTTAAGTCCAGCACTGTTCAGCAAGGTTTCACAAGGCCACACACGCATTGATGAGGGTTTGGAAATCATCTGGAGCAAGGCAGGAGGCAGTGGTGGGTCACCCTCACACTGTGGGTTCAGCACAGCATGGGCAGGGGGGAAATTCAGGGAACAAGGAATGGGCACTGCTTCTGGCCCGTCACTGATTCCTGGGGAATAGTGCAACAGCCACGTCCATGGGGAACAGTGTGGCTGCCATGAGATGATGTAGGTTTCTGTAATCCCACAAACTCACTTTTGAACGTTTTGGCGCCTGTGTCTCAACACTCCTTAATTGACATTAAAGGCATTATTTTATCTTGCAATTAGTCTCATTAACTGGCTGATCGATTTTCGGAAATAGTTTTAGTGGCACATGGAGAAGAGCTGTTGTAATACTTGCAAGGCATCACCATCAATTCTCGACTAAATGTACAAAATCTGGTTCAAGAGTTTCACGCGCGCACACGACAAAGAAAGATGATATTCATCACAACAGAGGTGCAAATCACAGAGGTCACCTTTGCTTTTGAAGTTCTTTGTCTTTTCTTACAATCAAGCAATAGGGTTTTGGTAGCCTATACTGCTTGTGAGACACAGAGGACTTTCCCACTTTAAGTAAGGCTGAGTGACCTCCACCAGGAGCAAAGGCTGCCTGCCTGCGGCAAGGCAAGTCCCAGAGGATTAACAGGTGCAACCAAATAGCCCAGTCCCTCATTTGAATCAGTAAATTAAGGGATGACAGTGATTAAGGCCGATCTCAGCCATCATAACCGATATCAAGACTTTGTAAAAGCAGACTGTCAGTGTCAGATCTTAGAGCTAGTACTCAAAGAATGAAATATTTTAAAGTAGCAGTCTCCAAAGACAGATAAAAGCCCTAAGGCTATGATTTATTTTATTTTATTTTTGTATTTGTAGGGCTGAAACCAAACCCTTTAATCCACAGCCTGACATTTCCCAATCCTACTAGGAATTAAGTGCCTAACTTTTTCAGCCTCTTTGAAAAATCTCAGCTTTAGGTTCTTTGGTAAGTTTGGCCTGATCCAGCACCAAGCTTCTTTTGAAAATGCCTCTATTGAAAGCAAAACTATATGCACTCAATTATGTAATCATGGAACAAATATTATTTTTTTTCCTATGTACCCAATATTGTAGATTTCTGGTTAAATATAAAATGGTAAAACTTGCGTTCCAGAAAAAATACATGTTATGGAAAGCTTTTTCCCCCCTTTTAGTGCAGCATGTCTACCTACAGTTATTGAAGACCTTCCAACTAATTGCTGTGTTGACTGAGTAGATTGCTGTATTAAAGTGAGAGATATGAAGCTATAGCTGCTTACTGTGACCACATCTATGCACAAACTCAACCTAGTCAACTCTTTCACTGTTCCAGTGATTCATCTGAAAAGATGAAGAAGGTATCATAACTTTGTTTTACACACAACTCTCACATTAAGTTATTCTGCTCCTCAACCCTCTTTTTCTCTTATTGAAAAAAGTGACTGCGGACTTTGGTGCCCTTATCCAAGATCTGAGTGTGTCTTGTGATTAAGACCTTTAGAGATCTTTTTTCTTTTTCCTCTAGAAACAAGGAATGCTGAAGATATGGAAAATGAAAAATGTGCCATGTTTGTCCTTGAAGTTACAGTCAGAATAGTGACAATGGCTGTATCACACTGTATTGTTGCTTTTATCAGCAAGTGCCCTGAGCATACATTAACATAATTGCAAACTGCATGAAAAGTGAACATGCAAAAATGTGATGCAATTGCCAATAGCCTCAAACATCTGTCCCAACAAAGTGTTCCTCCTCCTTATTTTAATTCTTATTACTTTAACAAGGTTAGTGAAGGAGAAACCATGTCACAGATTATATCTACATTCAGAGTGTCAGAACAATTATCGATGCAAAATTGTTATCCAAGCAAATGTGTGTCACATTTTGTTCACTTCCCATAACACCTGTTCACTTCGCTAACACATTATTCCCAGTTAAAGCCAGAACTCATTAGTCCCAGTTAAAGCCAACCTGAGAGCTTAATACATACACACATCTGAAAAACTGAAAAAGTTAACCAAAATGTGGCACTCTTTGAGCAGGGTGTACATCTGAACCTGGTGGGCAGCAAACGTCTGCAGCAGCTAATGGAAAGAAAGTGAGCCAGACAAACAGCAATAAATGAAAAGCCACCCAGCCTGAAGAGCTGAGATCACAGAGGGTCACTACTGAACCAACCTGCATCTCAGCCACGGCGCTGAGACTTCAAAACTCACAATGCCAAAGAGCCCAACACTTGCCCAATACAACACATTTTGGTTTATCTCTTCAAGAGGCAAACTACAAAAGCCACCACAAAGCAGATAATTTAAAGCATTTTCCTTTTACCTAAATATTTGCAGATCCACTTCGGGGTTCTCAGCCCTGAGCATGGGCCTCCTGCCTCCCACCACGCTCATAGAGGGCCACCATCTCCTTACTCCCCAAACTGCTCACGTTTGCCACCAAGCTTGCATTTCCGTGATACTTGAACACACACTGTGAATTTGAGGGCATCTGCCCTGCAGATATACCACTAACTGTAACCCCAGGAGGCTTAAAGAAATATCAGCACTCCAATTCATAGAGTAAAGGTCTGAAGAGGCAGCTCTGTGAACGGATAACTGCCCGGGGCTTTGCCGAGCACAATATAGCTGTCACTTGTTATTAGGTGAAAGATTTTCTGGGGAACAGTGTTTTTCATTTTGCATGTCAGAGACGGGGGAAAAACACATTTAGACAACCATCTCTTTAAGAAAAGAGAAGAGAGCTGGGCGGCAGAGCTCACTTACCGGGGCTGGTTATTGTCAGGAGGTCAAGCCGTCGTTTCTGCTGGAAAACAAATTATAAAAGGAATTGTTAAAAGGGGACTAATTTTAGTGGGTCAGCTTAGACCTGCAAAGTAAGTGTTCTGACATTTATAGCAGAATTAATTACAAGTTACATGGCTCACAGTAACTCTTTTGGAAGGGATCCACATGCACTTTATGAGGAAGAAAAACCCCTTGCTCAGTCCTTTTAATGTGTTTTTATTTGCACTTATAAAGTGTTACTATTTCTTTTTTGGAACGTATACTTGAAATGGATAGCTAGAAGCACAGATGGACCGATATATTTATAAAAGTGATTTCTGATTCCACAGGGAAGAAGACATGGAACCGGGACGAGCAACACTAAGTTCTTTATTCATATCAATCACTGACTCAATGCCTGTATGTGATCAAACACAATTATATTGCCTTGGGGTGAACCTTTCAAAGACATGTAAGAGTATCTAGACAAACTCAAGACTGATAAAAGGAAAGCTTCTTTTCATGCTGAGTGCAGTCAGCCCATGGATCTCATTGCCACCGGATATCCCTCACCCCAAAAGCTTGCCTGACTTGATCATCAGTGGATATCTGTACAGACAGCAAAATACAGGGAAGTTATTATGGCAAATAATCAAGTTTACACAGAGGAGTGTTTCTGGAAGGCCTGCAAGACTTCACATGGCAAACCAACCTGTACTGTTAGAAGGTTAGGAAAATTTTCTGCCTGGAACAAGCTATGCCACCAAAGCCTTCGTGATGGTGGGGTGCATCTGAGGTTCCCTTTCCCTGTAACATGCAGCCAGTGCTGCTGCCTGCTCCATGTTCCCAGTCTTAGGTGATCTCCCCACTGTTACCTCTCTGTAACCCACCACTTAAATCCATGTGCTCCTGGACCATTATCACCCTTTTCCACCTTTCTGTGGGCTGAGAGCTTTCCATCACAAGCAGGGCTTTCCCCATCTCACAGACTGTTAATGCCTCTTCATCATAGCACTTTCTAACTTACTGTTGTCTCCCTAATTTTGCCCAACAGTAGTGTGTCTAGCTGGTATTGAAGATTATACTGTCCAGTTTAATTTCTCTCCCCTAATTTGCTCAATAATGTCTGTGTTACTTTCATTTATTGCCAGCCCTATTGATCTTCTTCTAATCTAATTCTCATCACTGCACTCACTGTATTCCCTGTGTGACAGCTGAAAGTCCTTGAGGAGGCAACATCAACTTGGTATTCCCTACTGTGAACCCTCTTCCTTGGAAATTATGACTGATGAAACTCCCTTCCAAATCCATAATTTCTCTGTAGTAAAGCTTCACTGGCTGAAGTGCATGGACATGGTCATCCACTGAATACACTGGAGCTATGTGCCCAACGGGAACGTGGCCCGCTGGGAAGCCAGGTGGGGTGTGAGGCTGAAAAATCCCACATTTTCTGAAACCTTTCTGGCCTTCAGCACCTTAAATCTAGTACAACACAAATCACATTTGTGAGAGAAGTCCTGCCTGTCTGTTTTCAGGGGCACTCCTTGTTCTCTCAACTCTGGTAAGTCATCCCGAGTACGACCTCAGCACTGTGCTCGACTGTGTTTGCTTTAGTATAAAATACCGAGGCCAGCGTGTGCCAAGTCTTTTTCCAGGTGTGCAGGGTAATGGTGAAAGGGAGAGGAATACCCTGCTGCTGCTTTGTGTCCCCTGCACAAGAACTGCTGTACCTACTCTGCAGGGGGCTGCTCACCCCCCTCCTTTCCCAGGGAGCAGGAAAGCAAAATGAGGAATACTGTGTGTAAGCAAAGGACCCACCTTCCCAGTGGGAGCCGTAAGACGAAACATCTCCTAATGAGCTAAATTTTATATAGATCCTGCACCTTAATCCTGATTCATATGTACAAAGCTATGAAATGCCAGAGCTTAGCCCCCACTGGGCCAAAAGCTTTGCTTACATTTCTCAGCACAACTGGAACTCCAAATGCTGTATATCTAATGAGCAGCTAGAGCAGAAAATATATATCCAAAGCCTATACTCCGTGAAAGCTTCTCTACTAGGAAAAAAAAAGGTGGAATATAAATATCCTGCATCAAAGAAAGTTGCAAAATGCAAAGATTTGGAACAGAGAGAAAGGCATGCAGCCTGATTGGCCCCCAGTCCTGACTTGAGTCTATTAAATGGACTAAAAAAAAACATTAAATAAAAACCTAAATAGCTTAACTTGATACGTCAGGAAAACAAAAGCATATAGGAGAGGTTAAACAAAATGGGAAATAAAATTAAATTATTAGAAGTCAAACATTCCGTTTTTAACTTTTTTTTCCAGTTTGGATGTTGCCTTCAGGCTGACCTTGGAAAAAACAAATTAACTCCAGATCCAGGAAATCTCTGTGTATATGCTGAACTTTAAGCTCAAGTTATTTCTCTGACTTCAAGTGGAGCAGCACTGATCTTTTGCATCTAACACCTAACTGCTGCGAGGGATTTGAAATGCCACCAGGTCCTTGGCACTGGCTCCACCCAAACGCTCCAGGCTGGAGCACAGTGGTTCCTGCCTGCCTGGTGACCAGGAGAGGAAAAAATTCTCTGCTCTGACCTTCATTGGACCTTGAAGAGGTTTCACTGATTTAGCTCGTCAAGGGAAGTTTGTGCACACTCACCCCAGCCCCGGAGAGGAGCAAACAGCAAAGTGCATTGCAGAATTGTGCATTTAAACATGCAAAAGTACCCTAATTATGGATCCAACCACTTTCTGGAAATTCCAGCCTGCTCTCAGATCTCAGGGACTAGCTCTCTGCCGTTTCCAGGGCTCAGCTGGATGCAAGCAGCCTAGTAACTAGATGGATTTTTTTTAAAAAACAGACAGACTCACTTATGAGTAGCTATAAAAACAGCGGTATTTGAATTTAAAGAGAGAGACATTACAAATGTCACACCCATTAATAAAATAATTTCACCAGAAGGATCGTGGCTGTGGGGCTTTATATATTCACTTCTTTCTTCAGTGCTGAGAGATGCAAATTGCAGCTGCGGCCCCCCTCCAGCAGGATCACCCTCTCCCTGTTTTGACAGATTTCTTGAAAGACTCAGCTCACAAGATGTCTGGGTTTTTTTGTTCTGCCTTTAGGAATTTTCCACTTCTCAAACACCTGCCCCTGCTGAGATGCTTGGGACCATCCCAATCTCCAGGCAACCTACTGTCCCAAGAATTTCTTACAGTTTGAGCACTGAAACACAACGACTGTCGTTCCTGGTTGGGAAAGAGGTGAGAGTTTCCCATGTCTCTAAGGCTGGATTTCACCTACGCTGACAAAACGACATTCCATAAGAAACACCAAAATGAATTCCACAGCATCAGCCATAATCTGAAGGAGGCAAACAGAAACGTTCCCCGTATCATCACAGTATTGCTATTGCTATAATCCTGTCCTACCCTTGAGGGGCAGCATCCTCTTTTCCACTTTGCTGGCTATCTGAAATCCCAAGGGCAGGAAGAGGTGACTCATCCCAGCTTCCCACCTCCAGCAGTTTCCATGGTTGGCACTACCCAGAGGCACAGTCCCCACAGCACAGCAAACCTGCAGCAGATCGTGTTCACTTCCACAAAATTAACACAATCTTTAATTAATGCAATAAGCACTGATGAGTAATAAATCATATTAAAATACAAGGAAGGTAATTTTTTAATAAATTAAGCATTGATTCACTCAATAAATATTAATCTACTAAGCATCAAGAATTCATTATGTTTTAGAAAACCAGTTGAAGAACGTCGCTGGTGAGCTGGTCTGAAGTGTGCAGAATGGTCCCTGTTCACCCATAATATACACTTATTTTTAACTAATTCCTTAATTTATCAAGTTAAACAACTTGCCTGAAAGTCAGCCTGGATTATTATTCCATTGCAAGATGCAATTTTCTCGACATACATTCTAACTCACCCCTCAGTTTTTTTCCTGTTTCTTAGTAACTCCTTTTCTGAGTGCCTCCTTTCTCTTCCTTGATTTTGGTGGTCTTTAAAATATTTGCTGACTGGTGTCATTTAATTTTCACCTCAATTAACTTAGAGAGAGTTGCAAAACTTGAAAAAAAATGCAGGGGGAGTGTAAATTAACTCATTCATTTAAGTTTAGCTTATCTATGAGATGTTCTTTCACACTTTGCTCTCTGCAGAGTTCTTCCAACCTTTTATAGAGATGTGGGATGTGCTGCACTTGCTTTGACTCTTATCTACAGATTAGCAAAAGAGAAGGAAAAAAAGCCAGATGCAAAGATGCCCCACGAGACTGATATGGAGCTGTTTCTGTAGCAACCGATGATTTTCTTCTCATGTAAGAATGAGCCCAGTCATATCTCATTCTGAATGTATCTGGGCCTTACTTGCCAGCCAAAGCTGTGTCAAGTATAAAGTCAATATAGTCAGAAAGAGTGATAAAAAACCAATTATAAAGTCATCTTCCTACTCCTCCTCCCGCCATGATCCAAAAAAATATTCTCACCCCTGCCTTCTATCCCAGCACATCATCTCCAAGCCTTCAACACCCAGCAGTGCAGGGAAGGGGAGATGGAGGTGGCAGCAGCCATTCAGGGATCTATGGCATACATGAGGCCACTGTGCTGGGAGCTTCTTCAGCTTCCCAGGCACACAAGTCCCAGGAGACAGTAGAGGTTTTCTAGACAGCAAGGGCATCTCTACCTGCCTTGCTCTGAGTCTCCATATAAAATTCCTAAGCCCTAAGCTGACATCAGCTTTAGAAGCTCCTGTTGGGTTTGTGCCATTTCACTGCCTTCCCTCTCTGGGCAGTGTTTTCTGCAGCTGTGAACCCAAAGGCAACTGCCCATCTCAACAGCAGCTCCTGCCACAGTCCCCTCACAGGATGCTGGAATTGACTCTCTGGGACCACACGAGGATTTTGTCTCCCAAAATGTATTTTACCCAGGCTGGTCTCTGCTATTGATCTCCTCCTTCTAATTTCAATGTGGTTTGAACAGGTGTCTGTCCCTCACAACCTTCAATTTACTGTGCAGTTCGGAGG